GGGTTATGTGCACCCGTATCTAGCTGAAGCTTGAGTGACATCCTCTGACTACGGCGTCGAGGTAAATCTGTGCACTCTTGGCGTCAAAAGCGACCACATTTGCACTGTCTTCTGCCATTAAAGTGTTTTGCACCCGCCCTTCGTCGCGTCTTCCGATTAGTGCTGACAGATTGGGGCACTTTCTTCTAAAACGTGGTCCTCCACATATGAAGCCATTTACCATTTTCTTTCATATAGCTAGATGTCACGTGTGCCATCCATGTCTGTATTGTCCATTTTCAGGGCAGTGAAATTTTTCGCAGTCACTGACTAGGTCTTCGGTCGTCAATGTTGTTTCGTCCTTGCGAGCGTCCAGTCGACGAATCATCCAAAGGCGAACTTGCCTCAGTGAGGAATCTTGAAGACCTGCTACAAACTGCAGTGTCTTCATCGCCGTATAGTCGAGCCCCTCAAGTCGTGCATCTTCGTCCAACCGCTTGATGGTGTTGGCGTACTCGCGAAACGGTGCGCATGCTGGCTAAGCGGAGGGCACGTTATCCTTAGACACTCATATCGTCTTCTGATGAGGCTCTTCTTGAAGGCGATAAGCTTCTTGAGATTCGCGACGGTTTTGTCGAGGTTCAAATCGATTGGTTGCGCAGGAAGGACCTCATCGGCATATCCGGTGTGCTTCATCCAGCTTCATGAGGATCAAGTTGCGCTTCTTCTAGTCCGAAAGCTGGGAGTCACGGATAGGCGGTCCGTACCTGCCGTACCAGTAAGCAAAGGTGTTACCTGCCTCTTCGTCTGCGGTTAGCCTCTGCACGTCCTTGCTCAGCTGATCGTATTGAACCGTGATGGCATCCAAGACGGCTCCTTGGTTACTAGCCAAGGTGGTGATCAGCGTCCTCATCTGCTGCTGTTGGAGTTGTAGTCGCGCCTGCATTTCTTCTTGTTAAAGTTGCATATGCAGGTTCACCTCCTCCTGCTGAAACCGCATTTGGTCGTCCACGACTGACAGGACTTTCTTCAGGGAGTCATGGCCATGCCGTTCTTCACCACTGGCTTTCGGCATAGTAGGACTCCTAGCGTTGATGATTCTGGTAAACCGATAACTTCTTAGCAATGACTCCCTTGCTCCTCGACCAGTAACAGCTTCCTCCCCGGATTGAGCTGCAGCACTTCTTCTGTGGCCGTATTCATGAACGTTACCTAGCGGGTAAGCCTACGTAAGTGAGAGCAGTGCCACACAGTGCCACTGAGTTGAATCAATATCCACAAAAAGCACTGCTGCCGCTTACCCAGCAGCTTCGTGAATACCGGTATCGTGGGTATCCGCTTACCCAGCAGCTTCGTGAATACCGGTATCGTGGGGAATCCTACCCACTGGGTAAGCTTACACACTCGGTGGGGGTCCTCTTATCCTTGATCCTAATCGTCACTTGTACTGAAACGCGTTGAGTCGTTGACGATTCATTAGAAAAACACAACGGTTCTTCCTGTACACATCGATGTATATTCCGCGGGTTCACTAGGATCAATTCAATATTAGGCACAACAACACGTACACATATCAAGGCGCGTTGGTACGCCGCAGCCACATAGGTCAGCCTAATTCATTGAGAGTTAGCGAGTTCTAGATCAACATGAACACCTTCACAACATAATTCGTAGGCATGGTCATTACTTTTTGTTTTATTTGGAGTCACCGTTCTCATTCAAAACCCCATCCCCCTGGTCTCCAGATCCTCACTTGAAATCTGCAAAATATCCTTATCAAAATAAGGAAAAGATGTTTTTACAGCCTTCTGTTGTATATTTGGAGCCACCGTTCTCAGTTACTCCCTGCTCCACCCAACTGCGTAGCCCAAAATTTGCAAAAATTTGATAGAATTGATAACAAGAATAGGTATTTTTACAACTGTTATATCTAGAGCCATCATTCTTACCCCTCCCCCGCCTCCACTACGAGTCCGTAGCTAAAAGTTCGCGAAAAATCGATAAATTCGAAAAAAACAACAGGT